CACCCAAAGAAGCCAAGAACTTGTTTGAGATCCCTAGACTCTGAAATTAATGGCTTCACATTTTCCTCAAAAGCGCCTTTACATTTTGGCATCCATATTCCTTTCTACCTATTTCTCACATACAAATCATCTGTCCTTGTGACACTTTGTCACAAGTCTACAGAAAGAGAAGTTCTATAAATTAGTATCCAGAAACATCTTTAAGCCATCACATCTGGTAACTACAGAACACCAGGACTCCACAAATAATTACTTTGTAAGACAAGTGCTGAACAAAGTAATTCAAGTTTTCAGAGCTATCTCCTAACAACACAATTCAAAGGATTCTGGATGAATGTCTAACTCCAGCTACATATGACCTGATGTCATTTCTACTTTTAAACTGATGTCTGTCAGTTGTGAGTCTTGGGCAATTAAAATGGGGAAAAAAAAAAATTTTTTTAAGAGGAGAAAAAAAAACCAAACGCTGCCTCCTGCACAGTGGAACAGTCCTCTGAATCTTGCTTGTTAAGAAAATTTTCTTCCTTCTGATGCAACATCTGCTTCAACAATACACCATAAAGAACGCCAATTCAAAACGAGTATTTGATGGATCCCACACTTACGATGAGAACACATCCTCTTCCAGACACATCTGTGCCAGTCTGAGGTTACCGTGCTTAGCCCATCCCTAGCTCCGCATCCTCCACTTGTTACTGTTACCACCCACATCAACATGCCAGCTGAGAAAAATGGAAGAACACTTTTCAATTTATTTGTTATTTTATCACCCAAGCCAGCTTAAACCGGTTTGCTATAGGCCTTTGTTAGCTCAAGTCATGTAAAGGTTGATGGAAAGGTACAGTTCCAGAAAAGCTCAAAGAAATTTAAATCAGAGCTCCTATGCCCCCATCTCCAACCCCCTGTCTCATTCATTTCAACAGGAAGTCCCATTCCCACTCCCTGACCTGGATGATCAGCCAGTTAAGAAACATGATCCAGCCAAAATTCAACAAAACAAAAAAGCAATTAATTACCAGCCTGATTAACTCCCCGACTTTGCTTAACTCACAGCCACAAAGGCTTCCTTGCCAACATGGGAAGATGCACAGTCAAGAAGGAGAGAGGACCACCACAGCTCCAGTTTAAGCTGCCAAGTTTTTTGCAAGCTTAGGCAAAACTAAAATAGAGCTGCTTCAGAAAAGAGCAGTCACAGCCTCCTCCTCCTATGCAAGCAATAACATTTGTATAGCCATGAAGTCAGTTCAGGCAGTTGATCCAACTGAAGTTTAACATTTTTTTGTACAACAATTTTCAGCTGGATCAGCAAAGAAAGATTATCATGGGGAAAACAGATCCTTTTGGTGAAAGCACTGGCAGAAAAATCAAAGCTGCTCTGGTGGTAATGCAATAAAATGACTGTAGAGGACGTGTTAAGTCTTAGCTTGATTGAATTTATGCTTAGTATTCTGCAAAAAAAAGAAAGGCAATACACTCCAACATCACTTATTAAAATTGAGATCTCAATTGAGACTGAACAAGTAATCTGTAGTTTTAATATGTGTTCACTGATCAAAATAAACTCCAAAACCAAGACTAAGGGCATGATTTCACATTAGTTTAAACCAAGCTTGCTTCATAACTGGCAAAACTAATAAAAATACAAATAAACTTTGACCTCCCCTGCCAAAAAAAAGAACAAGGTCAGCAGAATGTGTAAGATGAGTGCAATAAGTAGAATAGAACTCCTAAGTCATCAATTACACCATCTTAGGTTGTCATGAGAATCTCTTACCTGACAGATTCTGTAAAACATCTTTTCTAGAGTACAGAAAATTTAATTTCTATAGCATTAGGGCAATTTAATTTTTTCCCATTGTTATGTAGCTCCATCGATATTACTGTGGAATAAAACCAGCTACAGGCAGAATTCAAGGATCCTGTAGGGTGCTGTAACAATTTCTCACAAACATACTATAAAAAAATCTACTACAATATGTTATCCCAATAGCCCCTGTTCCTGGGGAGGCAAGCACTTTCACAAGGATTTTCACTATCATTTCAGAAAGCTTTTATCCCACCACGTTCTTTTTAGTAAGAAAGAAAACTACTTACAAGTCACTCTGACACCAGGCAGTTACATCAAACTACAAAATATAAGAGTCAGAAGTGTTGCAAGTTTTAAGAGCCCAGCGTGGTCTGTTGGTTTGGGTTGTTTTCTTCCTAAATGCATAATGCTGTCAGCTCCTAATACAAAATCAGAGGGTTTCACAACACTGGGCTGAGAAGATAAACAAACTTGTTTACTCTGTCTAGTTTACATGCACCTTCAGTTTCCACATATTTAAGATAAGTAATAAATGCAGGAAAGTATTTCCCAGGATGAAAAATAAATTTTCTGCTAATAAGGATTTAAATGGCTGATCTGAAATGCATTTCACATGTATACTTTAGGAAAAAAGAACCTTTGATGTGTTATGCTTAGAGTTCTGTAAATCTGAATTTTCACTGAGGCTTAAAACCAGCATCTCATTCAATTACAGATTAAAAAGAGTTTACTGTAGGATAACTCAGGCTACTGAAAGTCTTAAAATCACAGGCAAGGACGAACACATCTCCAAATTCATTTTTTTGGACTTCGTTCACGTTATTTCTCCGTAAGACTTGCTAAGGGAAAAAAACAGCATTTCCACAGAGAATTGCCAAGAGATGAAGAAATGGAAAACACACGCTGATGAACAAAAAACCAATATTGTTTCTCTATGGTAACTACTAACTTCTGCATAATAATAAAGACCATTTCAGAAGTAACCACAGATCAATAAGTCAAATAGAACTGAGTCAGAAATTCATTTAAATATTTACACTTTTTGCTACAAGCCATACCTAGAGTAATACCGTAGCCAAACCTAATGACTGTGCCTTCCATTTTACACACTCTCCTCATTCAGTAGCCTATCTGAACAGGCAGAATGATCAAAAATACAAAACAACAGGAATGCAAAGTGAAACAAAATAAAAACCCCTTAAACGGTACAAACAGACATTGTTGAGAGTTACAAGCATCCCCTGCTGCGGATAAATAAATTGCGAAATATTGACAACAACACTGAAAACAGAGCAGCACACAGAAAAGCTCCCTTATCGTTCCATAAACCATTAACGAGTAGGTTACATAAATCTACTGGACCGAAGGAGTTGTAGACCAGAGCTGCTGCAAGGCATTAACTCTCCTCTGAGGGATGTATTATTTCATTCTTGAAGACTGTTCATCTCCGTGAGCGCAACAAAAGGAGTTAAGCGCATTCCGAACAGGAGCTGCATTGTAACCCTTCGTGACCCCCGAGTACCGGGCGGGCGATGCTCCCGGCCCCGCCGCAGCCCCCGCTTCGCAGGCTGTTGCTCATCCATCCCTCCTGCGCCCGCAGGACGGGCCGAACCCGGCCGGCTGTTCCTTTGTGCAGCCTGGCGGGCTGCCGCACACGCACAGCGGCCCCGGCCAAGCCGCGAACCGGGTGGAAGGAGACGAGCGAGTCCCGCTGCTCGCGGGGGCCCTTTCCCCTACAACTCCCGCTGCCAGGCTGGGTCCTCAGCGCCATCGCCTCGGAGCCTCGTCCCGACGCCTCCCGAACTTCCAGCGCCCCAGCCCCGGCTGAAACGAGGAGGAGGATTTCGGGGAAGCCCCAGCTCCCCGGAGCCCCCGCTCGCTCCCGCGGCCGCGCAGGGGCGGCAGGCGATACAAAGCGCCCGGGAGCGGCCGCGCCGGAGGGACCCTCTGACGGAAACCTGGCCGGGATTCAAGGCCTAGGAGAGACCACAGGCACGGGCAGCCCCGAGAGAGCCCCGGGAAGCGGCGGCGCCGCGGGGGTCGCTCGTCCGGGCCGGCTGCTCGGTGCTACCCGCAGGGCCCTTCGGTGCCGCGGCCGCCCCCCGCGGTCTCCACCTGCGCCGGGCCCCCGCCCCGCCGCACCCCGGGGATCGCGCCCCACCCCGTCGCCCCCCCCGGGGCGGGGACTGGAGGTCGCACCCGTATTGCCCCCAGCCCCGCACGCACTTTCGCGGGGCACCCCCGCTTCCCCACGCCGGCCCCTCAGGCTTCCCCGCCTCCGGCGCGCCCCCGCCGCCGGACCCACCCGCGCCCGCGGGTTCGCACGGCCCCGCCACGCCCGCCCGCCCCCTGCCCGCGGCATTGGCCCCCGCCCGCCGAGGCGAAGGCCCTTGCCCGCACCGCGGCGCGGCCGCGCTCACCTGCCCCCCGCAGCCGCCTCCCTCCGGCGCCTCCTCCGCCGCCCGTCTCCACCGAGCAGCGCCGCCTGCCGCCGCCGCCGCTCCGCCCCCGCCCCCTCGGCCGCCGCGCCCGCCCTCGCCGCCCGCCACGCCCACCCCGGCCGCCCATTGGCCGCGCGCCTCAACACCTGGCCTTCTGATTGGAAGGAGGAGCCGTCCGTCAAAGCTCCGACCCCGCCCATCCCCGCCCACGGGCCCCGGGTGTTTTATTCACGCCGGGGCTCTGGCGCCCCCACTCACCCGCTGCCGGCCGCGATTGGCTGAGGCGGTGGGAGCAGCGAGTCGGGATTGGCTGCCCGAGGTGCCAGTGCGGGGCCGGGCCCGCCCCCCCCACTCGGGGCTGGGCGGGAAGGCGGCGAGGCCTCCGCGCGGGGTCAGGGCAGGGCCTGCCCGGGGCCGCCCCGCCAGCGTCCCGCGGGAGCGGCACGGGGGGACGCGCCTGCCACCGCCCGCCGGCCCTTCGGCCTGCCCTGGTGCTCGGCCCCCCGCCAGCTGCGGCACTGGGGCCACCAGGAGGAGGATGGCTCCCGGCGGCCCAGTGCCACCCTGGTTTCCCCCCGATAAACCACATACGATGACTGACTCCTTCCCCGGCGGCTGCAGTGAGACGTGCTTGCTGCTAATGCCAGCGCTCCAGAAACCGAGCACGTAATGTTCCCCATCAGCCAGAGGCCGGGCTGGCAGGAGAACTCGAGCAGGCTCCTTTCTGCATTAAGCTCCACGATTGCGACGCTATGAGAACCAAAATGTTCCCGGGTTATCCTTCCTTCGGCCCAAGCATGCCTCCATTTTCGAAGTGGAGGCAGTACCAGGTGCTGAATTCAGCAGGGAGGCTGCGCTTCAAAGGGAAGTTACCCAGGGGAATCCTCCGGGAGGAGCACCCTTGTGACTGTGCATACGGGGCTCGGCCTGAATGCATTATCCAGAAAGCACATTTCTAACAGCTGTCTTCTCTCACCAGACTTTCAAGCCGCTGCTTCATCCAAGATGCAAGCCAGAACAGTTTCAGAAGCACTCAGCTGATTAAAAAAAAAAAAAAAAATCAAGAAATTGAAATGCAAAGATTACATGAGGTTTCTCTGCATTGTTATCTTCTCCCTGCATGGACCATCCCCCTTATTCCTCTTTGTCTCTGAATCAAGCAGAGAAACAGAGCAACAAAGAACATGGGACTTAATGTTGATTGGCAAACATCCAGAAAATAAGGCAACTGAAATCACTAGGAATTTCAGAACATTGTGTGCAAAAATCATTTACCAAGTTCACACAGGAGGTTCTCAGGCAGAAGTATGAGCACGATGCTGACTCTGAGTTTCAGACTGATGCTCTGACCCCCAAATCATGCCTTGTTCATAAAGTAAACTGAGAAGATACGGAGTTTATTTCTTACAACGTTTTGCATATATCCCTTTGCTTGAAAAGCAAAACCAAGGCAGAGAGCTGCCTTCCCTCTCTCAGTTGCTTCTCAATGACTTTCAGACTGCTGCTCTCAGCCAGCAGTACGACAGAGCTGTGTTTGAGCCAAATGTTCTAAAATGACTAGACGGATAAGACATTTCTACCAGTCCTAAGTCTTCTTTTGATTTTATGAAAACATTCCTGACCTGACATAGCTCTTAAAATACTGCATTCTTAGTAGCTTCAGTGTAACTCTGCATCTTATTCGCAGTCTCTGGATTTCTGACAGAATTTTTTATAAAACATGTGCCTTAAACCTTAATTTCTGATGAACAATTCCCATATTATCAAGAAGCTCTATTTCCAAATGAAAAGTATTTGAGGGCTGGCCAGGACAAGGCCAGGACATGTTATTGCAAATAAAATTCTAATGTATGCTTCAGCTATATATTGAGCTTTTACAAATATTTATTCTATAGCTAAGTTATTTGTTGCCATTACTGCTTCTCTGCTCAACTGATAGCTTTACCCCCCCATGTGGTCACTGGTGACCGAAGGGAAAGGAGGCTATGGTGGGAAAGGAAAGGAAAATGACCACAGAGGTCACCTAGCTGGACAAGCATCCAGCATAACAAACTGCACATTCACAGTGCTGTGCTGTGTGTCTGAGTCACGTTCTGTGTAGTTAGTCTTCCCACAGAGCTTCCATGTGAGGAGGGTGAAATTAATTCTCTGAGGTCTGATACAGGAGGCAATGCTTCAAGTGCTTTAATCCTTATGGATAACAAAGAACTGGGAGAAACCTCATAGCATTACCAAGAAACCAAACTCAATTTTCCCCTTTTCACCTTTTCTTTAAGATAGGGAACAGGGCTCCATGGGCAATACATGGGATTAATGGACTTGACTGATCCTGTGATGCCCACCGACTCCTGTCAGCTGTGCCTTTCTAGCCGAGGTCCTTCCTGGGACAGCAGGATAGTACGCTATCCCCTAAGGACCTAAGGGAATATATTACATGTCCATGACAATGCAAACTCCTTATCCTCACTGCAGATACCCAGAGGCTTAACATCGTTCTTCCCTATTGGTTATCTAAAACAATGTCAGTGATTAAATCTCCCTTCTTTAATCACACCATACTATTATCCCTTCCAGGAACAAGCCATACCAGCATAAATACTACACCATAAGCATTTTTATACTGCTATAACTGTGCTCACCAAGAGGAATTTCATCTTTTTGGCACTATATATAAAACACTGGGAGCTTGTGTATGTGGATGAGTGTGGAAAATGTTCACAAACACTTCTGTAAGGTGCCATAGTGTCTAGTAGCCGCATAAATCTGCTGTGGGAAGCAAATAAGCAAGTACTACTGACAGGGCTTTCTCCTGTCATGCTCTGACCAGATCTGAACAATATGGTTGCTAAATCAAGACATCCTGTTTTCATAATATTTTCATCTTGGTAGTGCTGTGTCAGAGGTGAGCAAGCAATTTCAAAGTTCTTCAGAAAAACTTCAGTATAGGAAATAAAAGGTAAAGTCTTTTTGCAAGGCCTCTGAAAAGGAGAAACTTACAAAAGAAGCAAATGTTGAATGATGCTTCCCTATGTTAACATGGCTATATGTTAACCTTGAAATAGTGGGCATACATATATTTAATGAGCAAAGCTATGCAGTTGCAATCATTAATATGGAAAGGATATGAATAGCAACAATCCTTTAAAATCTGTCTTCCATGGAAAAGCATCAGCCAAACAGCTCATCAAGAGCCACACTGTGCATATCGAAAGAATTCTCTAGCACAAGATATGTGATTTATGCAGGAGGAGTTTGACTATACCTTCTAGGTTCTCTAGATGTGATTAATCCCACAGGGCAAATATTTCATTTAGGTTCTCTCCGCTTGCATTTTAGGATGGGGATTTTCCCCTCATGGCCATTGCTTCTCTCCTTCTGCTGGAGCACTGGAGTCTGCTGCTTTGAATTTAGTCACTGCAGATGGTATCTGCACAATGCTACCAAATGCTAGATGGCATCTATTTGGAGCACAAAAACCCTCACAAAATTATTTCAAAGGACACATGCCCTGTCAAGGGGGTGAGTAAACTCAGTCAATGCTGCTACTTAAATACATCAGGTAAATTCAGCTTTTTATTTTTTTTATTTTCATGTCACACGGTACTAAAGAAAATATCTGTGCTTCCAAATCCCTCCAAAAAGATAATTTCACAGGGAGGACTGGACCTTCTAATTATTATTTTTATAAATGTGTTTTAATTTGGCTGTTCCATTGCGGGAAGGCTTCTTTCCTCAGTGGGGATCTGTGTACAAGATAACCTGGCTTAAAGACCACAACCAGTGACTGAATAAGAAAATCCCCGAGAAGAGAGAAACAGCTGGAGAGAGGCCAAAGTCTCTGCCAAGAGATGCTTCAGTGAGTGAGTGCATTCACTTGGATGAGGGAGGCCAGAGGATAGCTCTTGAGAAACAGTTCCTGAATTAGCTTTCAGTCTTGTTATCTGGCAATGAACTTTATAGCTTTCACAACAAGGAGCAGGCTTCACAATCCAGCCCAGTGTCCTTCCAGTGATGACACAGTGCATGTCGCTAGGCTGTATGAGAAGGATTGTCAGCTAGGAAAACCTGTTAGTGAAGGCTTGAAATGTTCTTTTTCCTTACTAGGTATTGTTTTTGGCATGAGGAAGATGCAAAAGGAAGGTTGCCAGCAAACTAATAATAAGAAAAAGGTTTAACTGGGTTTAACTTTCTAAAAGTGACTGGTTTACATTAATGGTTTGCTGGCAACACAGAGGAAGTTTGCATGGTGGTGAACAACTGAGCATTCAGTACGCTGAAAATTGCAAAGAATTTTGCCTTTTCCACTCGTTAGTGAAGACTGTTCATAGCTCTGCAGGATCAGGCCTTACCTGAACTGCACTTTAAACTTGAGATTTCCATTATTTGAATGGCATAAGGTTAAAATATCAAATGAACCCTACCATCTCTTTGACGTGCCATTTACTTACTCCTTTTGAAGCCACTTTTGCCTCTTTAATAGGTTGTACTCACCACATTTATATGTCCTCTTAAATAAAATGTGTGGCTCTTGGCAATGCAGCTTATATGCTCATAAAATCTGAGTAACTTTGTGCTAAATTCTAATTAAGAAATTTAATTGAGCCTCCAGTTGCTACTCTGTCATGTGAGCAGCAGGTCAGGGGACCACCTAATCATTCAGAGATCTGTGCTACTTTGGTTTTGTTTATTTAAAGAGCTGTACATGACACTTCTTCCTTTAGCAAACTCCCTTGAAATATCAGACAATTAATGCAAAGAGCATGTAGACCTTGTGGCTACTCCTAGATAGACAACTATCTGAGCACTCTGTAAGTGATACTGAAGCTCTCTCTTTTTGTCCTAGGTCAAAACCCTTTCTTGTGTCACACGGAAGAATAGCAAAATTCTTTATTCTTGAAAGCATTTATTCTTAGATAGTCTAAATTGTCAAAAGAAACGTTTTATTGTCATAGAGATTTTACCACTATTATTTTCCACTGTGTCCTTCACTCAGAGACTTTGTCCTACATCAAAAAAGAATCCAATGTCAATCAACTGTCTCTCAGCAGTAGAAAGTGACATCCATATGACGATCAGAGCCATTGAATAAGACTGTGACACCCCCACCCCGCCCCGCTGTACTGGTAAACATCCAGGACAGCTTTGCTGCAGTCATTACAGATATTCTGGTGTAACTCAGGTCAGGCTCTGTGTACAGTGCCCGGCTTCTGAGAAGGATCGGTTGCACTCCAGTAAATTACGCAGTAACACAAATAACAATCCAGATGCCCAGGTTTTTCAAGTCTTCCCCCCTCCCAAGCCTATTTAGCCATGCTTACATACAATTAAAGCATGCAATGGCCTAACTTTACCATATTTCAAAGCACTTGCATCTCGATTTTGTTAAGGGCCCAGCTCTGTTGAAACGGTTTCAGCTGATAAGATTATTCTGGTAATCAGGGCTTAACCTTGGGAAAACAAAGAATGGATTGAAATAGAGTTCGCCCTTCTCTTCTCTTCCAGTCTACACATGCATGCACAGGCTGCTTGCGCTCTCCCCTCCTTTTAAACCTCATCCACGCCAGCCCCCTTGACGGGAAGATACGGTATCCCCTTCCATGCGCGTTTCCCATCGCAAGGGCGCAGAGCGCTGATCGGCCTCTGCCACCTGCTGGCAAAGCCAAAAACGGTCCAGACGTGAAACGGGAGTCTGAAGTGTTGCCTACGCAGGCCTAAAATCCGTCTCCTTTAATGAAAAGCATCGTGGTACAAACAGGACAGTCTTCTGCTGTTGCTCTTCCCACAGCTTTGGCTGCAAAGGTTGTGCCCGGTGAACTCTGTCAGAAAAATACCTCCAAAATGAAAATAGTTGTTACTACTTTTATATAAAAAGGGTCTTTGTTGCTTATAGCTCAGAGCTGGGATCTTAGGCTGATTTGTGTTGGTTTTAAGGCAATTGAAGCAACAGGCAAGTTTAAGATATCTGCATCTGTTCTAGAATTTGAGACTTAACAGCTGAACTTATCCTCATTAGGCCTAAGGATTTCTGCTCCTGAATTGTGGTAAAATTGGGGTAAAATGTAGGTCTGGATTGAAACCCTGGCTAGAGGTGAAAGTTCACTTTTCAGCTTTGCATCCTATGTCTGGTACACTCAGTAGCCCACACAGCAGATCTGCACATGCCTTGAGAATGCTAGCTGTTTAACATACTGTGTGCAGCTGATATTCATATCTATGAGAGGTTAATAACACCCTGTGAACCAGAGGGTTTCTGGGCACACTTGGGTAATTGCTCCAGTTAAATGCTTTAATTTCACAGCAGCCTCTGGAGATGAAATTCTCATGCAAAATTCATTCCCATGAATCGCTGCAGCCCTTAACAGATTCTTCTCACAAAAGTACTGAAGTGTGAATTTCTTGTACTGAAGCTTGTTCTTGATCAGAAGGGCATCAACACAGTCTGACAATACAAACCCCTACAGTTTTTCACATTTGCCACATTCAGAATCTTGCTGGTCTGTCCTCTACCCTCCAGCACAGCTTCCCGTGCTGAAGCTCCAGTCTCTGGAAGCACAGAGCAGCCCTCAGGCTGTCCAGGTACCTACAGCACCACTAACGTCTTTCTGTGAAGCTTCAGGCCTAGAAGAGAGATGGAGAGGGAATGAAGCTCTGCCCATCTTATTAGGCAGTTAGTTGATTTGGGGAAAAAATCAAAACCTTTCATCACCACTAGAAGCACAAGAAAAGGGGAGAAGGGATGGTACCTCAGAATTGGCTTCATCCAACTTGGATTTATATTTCTCGCACAACAGAGCCTTATGAAATTGGGTTTATCCCATCTCGCCTCATTAAGCTGCAAAGTAATTACAGGCAGTCCTAAAGCATATCCTTATGTTACGCTTTCAGAGAAAAATAACTTTATGAACGTGCTTAGAGCATGCGTCCGAAGCTAAGCTTCCCAGCCAAGGAATCCATTTGCCTGCATCGGTTCCCAGGGGATTCGCCTCTCCTTTCCTTTTGCGGGCGGGGGGAAGCAAATACTCCCGGCACCTTTTCAGCGGACGTGATGACAGAACACAAGGTACGTTCCGTGCAGCACGACCAGCACAGCCGGGAGATGCCCTTCCGGGGGAGGGGTGCTGGCTCCGAGCCCCGCCACACCCCGTGCCCGGGGCGCTCCCGGCGGAAGCGGCGGGGCCTGGCGGGGCCGAGGCGGCCATGGCGGCGCAGCAGCGGGAGATGGGGCGTCTGTCGGCGCTCGCCGTGTACCGCCGGGTGGAGGGGGCCGGGCGGCTGGAGCGCCGCCGCCGCCGCCGCGGGGCGCCTCTGCCCGGGGGCCGCAAGCGGGCCAAGGCCCGGCCGAGCCGCGGCCGAGCGGGAGGCGGCGGCCCGGAGCCGGAGGCCCCGCCGCAGCCGGCGGCGACTCCCGCCGCGCCCCCGACCCGCGTGGAGCTCCCGGCGGAGCTCCGCGTGGAGCCTCGGCCCGGGGGGGCGGCCGCCGTGCCTGAGGAGAAGCCGCGGGGCGGCCCCGCGGCCATCCCGGGCGGCCCGCGGGCGGCGGGGGAGGACGGCGGCGGCGTGTCGGGGCTGCTGCGGCGGCTGGGGCGGGTGGAGGACAGCCGGACGCGGGCGGCAGAGCTGTTCCGCTGGCTGCTGGCCCCGGTGGCGCCGAGCGAGTTCCTGCGGCAGCACTGGGAGCGGGCGCCGCTGCTGGTGCGGCGGGGCGACCCCGGGTACTACGCGGGGCTCTTCTCCACGGCCGACTTGGACGCCGCCCTGCGGGGCGGTGAAGTGCACTTCGGCACCCACCTGGACGTGACCAGCTACGCCGAGGGCGTGCGGGAGACGCACAACCCGTCCGGCCGGGCCCTGCCTGCCGTCGTGTGGGACTTCTACCAGAACGGCTGCTCCCTGCGGCTCCTCTGCCCACAGGCTTTCTCCCCCACCGTCTGGCACTTCCTCTCCATCCTGCAGGAGCAATTTGGCAGTATGGTGGGGGCCAACACGTACCTCACGCCACCGGGGACACAGGGCTTCGCCCCCCACTACGATGACATCGAGGCCTTTGTGCTGCAGCTGGAGGGGAAGAAGCACTGGCGTGTCTACAGGCCCCGGACGGATGCTGAGGTGCTGCCCCAGTTGCCCAGTGCAAACCTCACACAGGCTGAGCTCGGTGAGCCTGTGCTGGAGACAGTGCTTGAGGCCGGGGACCTGCTGTACTTCCCCCGTGGCTTTATCCACCAGGGTGACTGTTTTCCTGACGCACACTCGCTCCACATCACTGTGTCTTCCTACCAGAGGAATTCCTGGGGGGACCTTCTGGAGAAGCTCCTCCCAGCTGCCCTGCAGATGGCCCTGGAGGAGGATGTGGAGTACCGGCGAGGGCTTCCCATGGACTACCTGGGGTACATGGGGGTTGCCAACTCAGACGCAGTTGATGCTCGGCGAACAGCCTTTATGGAGAAGGTGCAGAGCCTGATAAAGAGGCTCGTTGACTATGCACCCATTGATGCTGCTGTGGATCAGATGGGCAAGTCGTTTCTTCATGACTGTCTGCCCCCTGTGCTTACACAGAGTGAAAAGGCACGGAGCATCTACGGCTTCCCAGCCCGGTGGCAAGATGGAGGCCCTCACGATGTTGATATACAGATAACAAAAGACACCGAAATACGCCTCCTCTGCCACGGCATTGTTAGATTATGTAATGAAGAAGCAGGTGTGATGCTGTATTACACGACAGAAAACTCAAGAGTGTATCACAAAGAAGAACCTAAGTTCCTTGAGCTAGATCCAGAATATATAGACAGTATCGAATTTCTGCTGTCTTCCTATCCAAATCACGTCAGTGTCGGTAACCTTCCATGTGAAACCTTGGAGGAAAAGATTTCTCTAGCCACACTCCTGTTTGAGAAGGGCATTCTGACTACAAAGAAACCTCTGGTGCAAGTGTAACTCTTATTTTTTAATGAAATAAACATATATTTGTTTAGGAAGTGTTCTGTCTTGGTCTTTCCTTACACCTGCTAGAGTGAATCATCAGTCCAGGTCCCTGCATCTCATCTAGGGGCAGAAGGATTATGGTATGGGTAGGGAAATGTTCTGATTAAAATGGGTATCTGCTCTAGGAGCAATTCTGCATGGCTTAGTGATTAGAGAAGGGAAAAAGTTTTTTTTTCCTTTCACCAAGCATGTTACTACACCCTAGGTAACTTCAGGAACCTAGTGACCTTTCTTGCAGTCTGTAAATCACCTCTGTATTTTCACAGCATTTTAAAGCAGCCTGCTCTACTGCAGGAAGTACTCTTACTATTCGCAGGCAGATTTGGTGATGGTCAGCATTCTGTGTGCCTGTGCTGTGCCATGCTGCATAGGCCTTCAGGTCTATGCTGTGTTGTAAAGATCTCTTGGTCACAGAAAAAACTTGTCCAACTCTTCCTGGAAGTGGAGCTTGCAGGCAGCTCCCACTCAGTTCCAGCAATTACATCACCTACATGAGCCTGCCCTTACCAAACAGTGTAGCAAGATGTCCCCAGGCAAACATGATCTGCTGCGTTTGAAATGCTTCAGGCTCACTTGCATCTTCTTCAGTCTGCAAGGTGTCTTGGGGATAAAATAACCTCCCCTACTGGTTTTCTCACAGCAGCCCCTAGCAATGAAATTACTCTGGTCCTTTCAAGGCAAATGGGGCACCCTCTAATACATTTTTTTTGTGCTGGGTGAAAAAAGTTTCATTTAAGGACCTATCAAATTACATGAACACATGCCTGACTGTGTGGCCAGTTCCCATAAATAGACCAACCTCTGATATGCTTTTCCTCAATGCTATTTTATCATAGCAGTCAGCAGGTGAGGAATATGCTGTCTTTAAAGCCTCCTGAAGCTATATCCACAAGGAGCAGGGTGTACTACCCTGTGGTCCTTCGAACTGTTGGATCATCAGGGTTTTGCAAGATGGCACACCAGCACTTTCAACTGGCTAGGATTTAAGTGTACACTATGTCCTCCAAGGTCCCATACTTGCAAAAGCCAGTGTGCCAGCCTTTCCTCCCTCTTTTGCCTGTATCCTTTTGCTAAATCTTGAAACTCGGGCTGTGTAAAACTGCACAGCATGAGAGCGTGCTGAGGTACCCTGCAGGCCTCTTTGCTCTGTAAATCACTAGTGGCTGGACAGAAATGCTGTTGTCACCTGTCCTCTGACCCTTTTGTCTACTCATCCTTAGCAGAGGGTCAGCCATCCTTGTCTCACCATTCATGCCTCTGGTAGATATCTCATGCCCAGTTCCAGGGCTGCTCTGTGTGGCCTCTGTGCAACCACGGGCACCTGCACTGCAGTTTACTGCTTGGGGGCTTGTGATGCAGTGCTGTACCAGGAGCTCATGCAGCCCTTTCTGTGATGGTTGTAAGCACCCCCATGTCCATTTCAAGTACATTAATGACAATCAAAAATGGCACAAATTTGCCTTAGCTTTTCCTTTCCCTGGACCCTGTTTTCTAAAACAACATAATACTTCATTTGGGGTGGGAATTCTGATAATTCCTTCCCACCTTCTAAATTTACTAAGAAAACTGTCTGAGCTAAACACATTACACATACTCCTCACAGTTTTGCACAGGGCTAGCCAGGCATAGAGTTTCTCTTTTCTTGGTTCTTTCTCCATTAAGTTATTTCTCACTAAGACTGGTGGAGTATACCGAATTTTTTGCACTCGGAGGTACTGGTCCGTTATGATCCCAGTAAGAAAAGCACTCACATTCTGTAAAGTATCTCAAAATGCTATTTATTAGAGCTAACACTCTAAAAAGAGACTAGTATAGATAATCTTACACCCCTTTAGATGCTGAGAACCCTGAGCAATGAAGCATGTAACAGGACTCCACCCCACATACAGCATATCATGCAGACATGGTCCATAGCAGATTCTCCCCTTTCGATCTTTTAAGGTATTGTAAGATTTGTGTATAAGGAAACAGCTCTATTTATCATGTCTACAGTCAAAGAGAAACAATGTTTGCATGAGAACATCTTGCTGCACTGTTTGATAAGGGCAGGGCCACACAGGTCATATAACTGCAGGTACTGGCTGGAAGCTGCCTGTGAGCTTCTGTCTAAGGAAGAAATGTAAGGCTGTGTTTCCCATAAGACTTGGAATCTGTGCAGGACAACACAGGCCTGAAGGCCACATTGTAAGGACAGTGCAGCGCAGCACAGTAAGGCACGGGGCAGTGTTGTGTCCTTCAGAGGCTACACCATGGCTATTGGAGGGGAACGTTCTGCATGCTCTAAGGCAGGGCAAGGCAAGGACCACGCTGAGAGTTCCCTCACATGGTTCCAAACAGTGCAGAAGCACAAATGAAGGTGCAGCAACTTTTCCAAGAGGAGCTGTGCAGGATAGGAGAGCTTTGAGAGAGCCAGGTTTTATTTGATTTCATAATCAGCCCTTTGGGGCATTGGTACATCTTTCTGAAAGATACAAGGACCATTGGCTTCAGGACAACCACATGGGGCAAAGACAATGGGGAGGGGAGCTGGCAGTCCCATCTGGGCAGGAGGAAAAGGCAGCACTCCATGACTGGCTGCCCAGGCACAAGAAGCCAGAACACCCAGCTTAAATACAGTCATGATGCAAGCTGAGTGGATTACAGGAGAAGCTGCAAATTGCTCCCAGCCTTTTTTGCTTAGCATGGTTGTGGTCATGGCAGACAAGGTTTCTCCTGTCCAGCATTTCCACATCACTTATCATCCCTGGCCCCTTCCATACGCCTCTCGCCCGCCACCTGCAGCCACTTCGATGTGCCTGTCACTCTGCCAGAGTTATCTCTGGGGAATGCTGTACAAATACCCACCTGGCAGGGCTAGCATCTACCAGAATGCTTGCCTAGGAAAGGGGAAGGATCAAACAGATATGCACTGGAAGGGCAGAGGATGGGGTACTATTCAGGTACCATGATTTGGAATGACAGAGATGGTGTCTGAGACATAACAAGGTGGGAGGAAGTGGAGTAGAGAAACGTGCATTTTTTTAAGGAGCCTTCATGTATTGTCATCACATTTCCCCATATGACCCTTTAGTCTAAGAAGTGTAAAGAAAAAAGCCTTTACCAGTAGCTAATTGTGGTAAGCTGACCTCGGCTAGCTGCTGGATACCCACCTAGCCACTCTCTCAATTCCCTTTAGCAACAAAAGAGGTGAAAAAAATTAGATGAAAAACCTCATGGGTCAAGATAAGGATGGGGCGTAATTCATTAACTAACACCATAGGCAAAACAGACTTGACTTAGAGAAGATTAATTTAATTTATTGGCAGTTAATAACAGAGTAGCACAGTGAGAAATAAGAATAAAATTAAAAACACCTCCCCCCCCATCTTGGGACAGCATCAGATCTGTCTCTGAGCTGGCTGAGACTGTCCTCGTCCAACATGGGGGAAGCCCTGGTCTCTTCTCACAGAAACCACAGCCTCCCACTACCAAAACCTTTCCACCATAGCTCTGGATAGTTTTATTTTTGTTTTGCAACCTGCACTCAAATGGTATCATTGTGCTTGCTCTCCCTTGGCTATTATCAAGGAACATTTTGCATGGGAAGGGAAACAATTTGCGTGTAGTAAGTTCTTTTTATTTGTCCAGAAGAAAAACTGATCATTGCCATCACTTTCTTCATGCAGTTTTGCAAACTCTCAGCATTAGACAATGCTCCCCTCCATGAACCAGCTGTCACCCTTTTCAGCTCAGTACTGATGAGCATTTCCTCCCACATGCCAGGTGAAGGGTCCAGGGATCGGCCTGTCTTGGTTACTCCAAAGGAGGTGAACTGTCTCTCGCCATGGCTGCCTTCCTGAAGAACATCGCAGCCGTTGCTTCCTTCAATGGCCCTGTGGCCGCTACACACATTCCTCTCTGTTACAAGGATAAAACCATCTCCATTTTGACCACATACGAACAACATATTGAGGTCACCGATTCCAATATTCTTGATTGTTCTGATGTTCTTATTGACCCCTTTCAAGCCCCTGGCAACCAAAGCCTGATCCCAATAGAGAAAGCTGAGGCACAGTTACTATTCATCCTGGGACAAGATGACCCTGTTGTCAAAAGTGAGTATTATGCTACTGAAGTCTGCAAGCTTTTGCAGGCTCAAGGCAAGGAAAATTTTCAGATTCTCTCCTACCCTGGAACAGGACATTGCATAGACCCTCCCTTTTTCCCTTTGTACCCCATAGGAAACCATCCCATTTTTCACAAGCGGGCAGTCCTGGGTGGGGAGTTCGGGGCTTATTCTAAAGCTCAGGTCCATGCCTGGCTACAGATCCAGGCTTTTTTCCAGAAATATTTAAATGACAAGTAATGTGCAACAAGTGATGTGCAAGCAACACACAACTTTGAACAACCAGATCTGATAAATTCTGTTACAGTTATCAATCTAACAGCTTGTCTCAGCTGTACCAGTACAACTACAGTATCTTCCATGACTTTACACATCCAGAACTCAGAAAAGAAATGGGTCTGCCTTTTCTCTTCTTCCTGGAACCTTTTTGTTCAAATGTCAAGAAAATGCAGGGCCAGACACCATACAGCATGCCCAAATGCCAGATGACAAAGCACCTCATCTGTTTAGGAGAGAATGGGTGATCTCCACAGGAAAGGAAAGACTGCTGAGACTGTCCAATACCTCTGACCACTTAGTATTTCCAAACAGGACAATGCTCAGGATTCCCTCAGATGCTTCCACTTGTTTCACACCACTAAGTCAGACACGAGGAGTTCAGAGTGTGAGGCACCCCTATCTGCATCTACAGGAAGAGTCTGGGAGCCTAAGGAAACAGCTGTCCCTCTGTAGTTGCTTTTGGATCAGAAGATGCAGCTCTTGGTAAGATGGACTGAATGGCCTTCTTTTTTAAAACCTTGCAAAATCCATTACTAGAAGAGCCAGATATTTCCTGACCTACCTAAAGAGTCTGCAAAAGCACTCACTCCTCATCCCTCCTGCACC